CTGTCTTTCTAGTAGCTCTGTAGCCCCAACCACGAGTAACGTTTCCACGTCAGGTGTTATGTATGCTAGCAGCAACACACGGAGTTAACTCAATGATACAAACATGGGTTAATGATTAAAGGTAACTGAGTTATTTATTTTGTTAAAGTTTCAGCTATTCTGTTTACAGTTCTGTTATCAAATTATTTAATACGATTTTTTAAAACATTGTTGTTTATTTACATGTGAAACATTATTTATTTAATTTAAATAAAAAGCAATGTTAATTTTGTTCAAAATGTGTTTAGTTAATTTAATAATATATNCCAAGGATTGGTCCATTTGTGCCAATCCGGTCATTTGTTGTTGATTTGGGTGTTCACACGTCAGAGAAGATTCCTTTTTTTCCATTGTTTGCTTCCTGGGTTCTCTGACGTGTGAACACCCAAATCAACAACAAATGACCGGATTGGCACAAATGGACCAATCCTTGGAGCTCGTCACTCACCAGGATCCCTTGGCTAACTAACAGGGCGTCCCATTGACTTGCATAGAGCTCCCTGAACGCTGGTAATAGACGAGTTGGGATGGCGGAGAAATGCTCTCCGATGACCCATTCTCACAGCGTTAGAAACCTTTTTCTTACTCAATATCAAGCCACACTTATTGTTTTTACTTCGGCTGTGATGTTTGTGTGTGCTCAGGATGAGTTTCGCTTGTTCTCGCTGTATCGCCGACCCGGAAACCTGTCCGCNGTGTGCCTTGGCAGTCTCAGTTTCTTACTCAATATCAAGCCACACTTATTGTTTTTACTTCGGCTGTGATGTTTGTGTGTGCTCAGGATGAGTTTCGCTTGTTCTCGCTGTATCGCCGACCCGGAAACCTGTCCGCTCCTCGCAGCAACGAGCCTCGCAACGTCCCGACCAATCAGAGCACACTGAGCTCACAGGGAGGGGGGGGCAGGAGCTCCAACAAGCCGTGTAGGACAGAGAGTGAATACACATACTATACAGAGATGCTGGATGAGAAACCAATGTGAGTTTGGAACATTGCACAATTTAAATCTATTCTAGTAGACCTCAACAATGGAAATATGATCAGTAGAAATGGCCATGACATGTGACCTTTAATAGGAAGGATTCAAAATTAGGCTACTTTAAATGATCCCATCCCATCCCATCAGTAGACTTGTGTATATCACAAATAAATATATCATCCAATCATCATAATATCCAATCTGACTTCACTTCAAATGTTTGCTTATGATGCATTATTTTCTATCATAATATGCAATAAAAATTCCTTCATTCCTTCTTCTCTCCTCCGGTTAAAAACATTTAATAGGAAGGGTTGAACATTTGGCGATTTTAAATAAAAGTCCTGTCAGTAGACTTAGTAGAACAAATAATCACAGTGAAGGCATCTCGTTGCTTTTTGCCAGTCCCATTATTCAATCCAATCTGAATTAACTTCAAATTTAGCTTAGGAGGCATTTATTTGTATTTTGTTCATGACAGGATGTATGATTACCTAGAAGAACCGGCATTCCTCCATCTAGTGACTGTGTAACTCCCTCTCTTGGATATCAGCATGTGAAGGACACTGTTCAGGAACTAGTTGATGCTCTGTATGTGATGACTACTTCCATTCTGGAGAGGATCACAGATACATGGACCCAGAGATTGAAGCTCAAGCCGGAGACGAGGGAATTAAACATTTTAAGTATTCAGAAAAAGACAGAATGTTGAGATTTTGAGAAAAAGTCATAATTTTGAGGTTTTGAGAGAAAAAAGTCATAATTTTAAGAGAAAAAGTCATAATTTTGAGATTTTGAGAAAAAAGTCATAATTTTTAGATTTTGAGAAAAAAGTCAGAATTTTTAGATTTTGAGAAAAAAGTCAGAATTTTTTGATTTTGAGAAAAAGTCAGAATTTTGAAAGAAAATCTGAACTTTGAAAGAAAATATGAATTTTGGAAAAAAATCGGAATTTTAAGATTTTTGGAAAATGTCGGAATATTTAGAGAAAAGTCATAATTTTTTGATTCTGAGAAAAAATAAAACATTTTGATTTTGAGAAAAAAGTCATAATTTTCAGAGAAAGTCAGTATTTTAGAAAAAAGTCAGGATTTTTAGAAAAAAATCTGGATTTTGAGAAAAAGTCAAAATGTTGAGAAAGTCAGAATTTTGAGAGAAAACGAAAAGAAAGATGTATGATTAGAAGAACTGGTATTCCTCCATCTTGTGACTGTGTAACTCCCTCTCTTGTATATAAGTGATGACTACTCCCTTTCTTGCAAGGATAATAAATACATGGGTCCTGATATTGAAGCTCAAGCCGGTGACAAGTGAAACACAGAGCCTTCTCCTCTAATGTCCTCCTTCTCTCCTCAGGTGGAAGGAGCAGCGTATGTGGGATCGTTTGCCTGGAAGTCTCAGAGCATCGGGATGTGGGATCGCCCTCGAGGAGAGAACATGCTGGACAGCGGGGCGCCTTTCTACGACACCTACCAGACCTCAGATGGAAAATACGTGGCCGTGGGCGCCATCGAACCGCAGTTTTACACTCAACTGCTGAAGGGTTCGTACTGCGCAGAACCGACAAACGGTTATATAATGCTGCTCTTATGAAGCCTCTCCTCAGACCCCTTTATCGGAGAACACACGGTGGAAGTGCTGAACGAATTTGGGTTTGAATCTGAAGAAATAGAGAAGATGATAATAATAATAATGCAATCAAAGCAAAGTTGTAGACCTTAATTTTGCCTCTCATTAAATGTAATCAATAAGTGTACCAAACAAGGATTTTGTATTAAGTCTGTAGAATGCTGTTTGTAGGCCGGGGGAAAAACTTCATTCAGATATTTTTACATATTTTTGCTTTATTCAAATATTGCGACTTCAGAGACATGTTCTGTATATATGGCTCCTTATTTTCATCTAAAGTAACAGCCAGAGAATCAGCACTTTTGAAACAGGGCTGAAACAGAGGGGATTATGGGTAATGCTGCAATGATCTGTTTGGTGTTTCAGCCAATCAGAGACATGTTCTGTATATATCTGAGACCTGTAATATATTGATGAAAGACAGTATAATAGGGGACCTTTAAAGTAGTATGTGCAAACTGATGCTTAAAGGTCACCCATCATGTTATTTTTTGGCAATAGCATAGGTCTCAGATATATAAAAATATATAAAAAACAGGTCTATGAAGTGTTTTGCTCAAAATACCAAACAGATCACCCATTCTAGCCATGCCTCATATCCCTCTATTTCACTTCCTGTTTCAAAAGTGCTGATTTTGNTTATTAATCAGCTGTAAGTTTTAGTTTGTTTGAACTTATTCATTATAATTATTGTACAAAATGGTATAAGAATTCCAACTTAAATTGATTATAGTCTATTATCAATTCAGGTTAAGAAACTAGTGTTGCTTGCTTCCTATTTTAAAGGCATTTATTTTTTATACTCTACTAAAATGCAACAAAAAAAGGGTTTGATTCTATTAATTTTGTCTTTTTTATTGCACTTTGGCAGCAGATTCCTG